TTTGCAAGAGAGCGCAAGGAGCAATAAACTCGATTTGGGTTATTTATTCAATTATCTCGTAAGATATGTAAGGTAATTTAATTATAAAAAAAACACACACACACACACAGTCGAGTATCGAACGGGGATACAAGAGCTCTGCAGCAATGCGCACAGAGAGGTGCGCATTTTTCTGCGCGCGTAACGCACATAATAATTAGCAATTGTAATTTATTAATTGAGCTCTACCTCTAGCTCCGGTGCTGCTGCTGCTGCCGCTGTTGTTGTTCTTTCTGCGCAGCAGCACACTTGCAAAGATATATATTATGTTGAATATATATTCAACTACTGCGCTCGCTCCAAGTATTCGTCGCCAGGAGCAGCGTATATTGCCGTTTACATCGCATATATCCTTTCCCTCCGGTTCGACTTATACGCCGAGGCGCGCGCGGCGCGGGTCAGTTCGTCGAACTCGCTGCTGCGGCAGCCGGCATGGTTCGCTCATTCAACTCTCTTGATCAATGTGCAAGAGAGAGAGAACATTTTATTCTACCTACGTGCTACGTGCGCCTCGTAAAGTAAATGCTTCAGTTTTCGATTCGCGTATTATGAGCTCGCGCACGCAGCTGGGCAGCAACAGCACGCGTATGTAAATGCCGCGTATAAGTGCGCACGCGCGCTTAAAGTCGCAAATAGAAAAAGTGCAAAGTGTAACGGAGAGAGAGAGAGAGAGAGAGAGAAGGTGCGTGCGCGGTATATATGCAATAGCTATGCATCGCGGCGGGGCGAGTCTCGTGTGTGCCGCTCTCGCGAGAATGCACGTATATAGTATATAGTAGTATATAGCGTATAACCTGTATGCAAAACGCGCAACGCACAGCCAGCACCCAGCAGCAGCAGCACGCGCACTGCAATGTGCTTCGCGACGGGGGCAATGTCCTCGCTTGTAAACAATCCAAATTCAACGAACGTGCACTTTATCTTCTCTTCTCTCTCTCTCTTTCTCTCTCGCTGTTCCTCTGCGCGGACAATGCTCGTTGCATCATGATTCGTTGAATCAAAATATCAATCATCGCTCGTTTCATGTTTCTTAACTGTACCCGCGCCGCGCTCGCAAGTATATGATCCCCGAACGACGACGACGACAAGTGCATTGATCTCTTTTTTGATATAATATACGCGCGCCTAAAATGACCGATAAGCATCGACACTGATTTCTCGTGCATCTCTGATTCTTTTTTTTTTCGCTTGACAAAAGGGTCTGTACAACTGTATAGGACAATCGTCATAATAAGTGGGAATTAGTCACTACTTGAAATCAAGGAAAAATGAAATTTTGTGTCGAAAATTAGGATCAAATCCAATGGAAGATTTTTATTTTAATTCCATAAAGCATCATTAATTATATTTCTTTTGATTATTAATTCGTATTGTATAATACCTATGACGCGCGCAAAAAATGTTTCAAAAGCTTTTTTGTACTTAATCCAGTCAGGTGAAAGTTGTGATTTCTTTTAATCGAGGTTACCGACGATTGTCAAGGATCAGCGTGCAGGTTCGACGACTTTTGCGATTATTTATACGCAGACAATTCAGTGATAGCAAATGCCCGATTTGTGCAATAATCCCCATATGCCTTTGAGGTAGCAATACTGGCGTCACCGAGTCTGAGTGCTCTCGAAAGCTCGATTGATAGATCGAACCATAGACAAGCACGTCATCGCGTTTAACACCCGATGGGTGTAACGGCGGGATGGGATTGGTTGGAAATGACGACTTCAATTGGTGCTAGACCAATGATGGCGCATGGCAAACAAACGGAGAATCACTCACAGGGCTACCTTCGCCATTGATTCTTCGTACCATCTTCACTTTCTCTTTTATTCTAATAACTTCTATGGGCCACCGAAATGTTTGACTTACTAATAAATTTAGAAAGTGGGTTAGTATAATTATATTTTTCGACCAAAATTCGCGTTCACTTTCATCATAGCTTTCTAAGACGTCAAATTTGAAACTAGGCAAACGAACTAGTATGTGGATTCTTTTATTTCCGCTTACAATCGATAGTTTCCACTTAGATAAATGTGCGCCGAGGGCCGTTTTGTTTATGAATGAATGCGTCACTGCGACGACATCATTGGGAAACAATTATTGGCAGAATTATTCTGTTTTGTACGCTTCTTTTTCGTCACAAGTTAAATTTTCAATGTCACCCCGAGGCGGAGTACTTTTTTCCTCGTTTCGGCTGCACGTACGCCACGAAACGAATGCAGAAGCATCGTCACTGTGCCTCGGGTGTAATCTTTAAGCAATATAATACACTTAGATGTATCTATATCGAGAGAGACATTAGGTCAAGGAAATTAATGCAGATATTTGACGATTTCGTCGAAATTTTCACTAATTACGCAAGCTTATACTACGTCAGCGAGTACCTGGATGATTCAACTTTATCCTTTTCCTAATATTCAGAAAGTAGATATTAAGTATTCGTCTTCAATAATTTATTACAGGACAATTCATGATTTCTATAGGATTGCGCAAGCTACTACGTCAGAGCTTATACTAAGCGCCAAGCTTATACTACGCCAGCGAGTACCTGGATGATTCAACTTTATCATTTTTTTGTTTTCTAATATTCAAAAAATAGAAAGCAAAATTTTACTTAATCATTTTTTTCAGGATTTTCTAGGATTCTGCCTGCTTCTATTATGGAAAAAATGTCCCTTAAATTTTTTGAACAATTTTGTACTATATAATAGTTGAACTTAAATTTTGCTGCTGAGCTTTCTTGCATCAAGTCGATTGTTTAAACATCATCAATGCTGTTGCGTGAGCAATCAGTTTGTCATCGTTTATTTCTGCGAATCTTTTTGATTCACACTTAATTGTAATTGTAAAGATTCGTTGTAAAGATCGTGCCTCTAAGGAAAAATAAAACAAAAATTATAAAATTGCTCTGCGTTTCAAGAGCTTCTACGTTGTACATTATTATATTTCTTGTAAAACACGTGTGTGTGCGTGTGACTCTCGATGACTTTCTTAATTATTATTTTTAATCAGTTTAAAGAAATAACGCGCGCTCGACTTTCGCGTTATTTATTGATTTATTTATTGATTTTAAACATTTCGCGGCTCGATTCGCGCTCTCTTTCTGTCGTCGAAAATCTTGTGCGATAAGTCTGCGCGACTTCTTTTTTTTTTTCTCTTCAATGATTGTTGCAAATTCGATTAATTATACACGCCTTGCGCGGTGCGGTAAACGAGGTGATTGACACAGTAACGACTTTTCACACATTGCTTAATAAAATACCTCATAATCCGAGCGAGCAATTACAAAATAACAAACTATAATGATTATTGACCCGCGCGCGCGCGCTTGCAGAGGTGCGATAAAAATAATATTAATCATCGACTTATTGGCGCGTTATTATCGAATTTCCAATGAGAGGTATCATCATCCGAATGAATTTCTGGCTACGACCGATAAAAAAAACGAAGCAAGAAGACGTTCTCGTGTACTTACGGTTGCGTTGCGAGCCGCGCGTGCATAATAATGTGAATTTCATACGCGCGTTATTTTGCTTTGGATAACGCCCGCGATTGCGCGATTATTGTAATAATTTGTTGGTATAATGAACATTCCTATCGAGGCATTTTCTTGGTGAGAGATTTTTGCATTAAAAAAAAAACTCTTAGTCAGACGTGTAAACATGCGCTCGATTGAAAATGAGCGCAATTCGTGCTACCGATCTCAGTGAGCGTAATACCGATCTCTTGACCAGCGTGCGCGTACGTACATTGGGTCAAAGACGTTATTTGGGTTAAGTAAACAAGAGGCCGAATTGATATGCGCCTCGCGCGCTCGCACGTGCAAACGCAGGCTTACACGCGTGCGTTTCGCGCGACACAGTTTTCGGCCAAAATTTGCAGGCCAGAGACGCAGAGACGTCGTCGCGCGCACCCACCCACCACACGAGCACTGAGAAAAAAGCACTCGCGCGTGCGTGTCGTGCGCGAACGCAAAAAATTTATTTTGCGATCGCGAGGCGAGCTTGTGTGAAAAATAAATGATCGAGAGCGCAGCGCAGCTCGGCACAACGGCAGCATAGCCTCTCGCTCCCGAGACAACCGCTCGCCTCGCTGGTCGACGAGCGAGTGCTCGTGCACCGAACAGGCCCCACTTTCCGAGCCGCCTCTCTCTCTCTCTTTCTCTTTCTCCTGTTCGCATGCATCTCGAGCTTTTTACCCCCAGTTTTGTGCTCTCCGCTACGGTGCACATGTACGAGAGGGTCCCACTCACTCGCGCCGCGCGCGCCTCCATTCCCACCTGTTGCGCTCTCTATACATACTCGTGGCTATATACTAGGCCGGCAAGGGTCCCTGATAGGGCAGGGATATGCCCCTCCACCGAGCAGCGGCGCAGCAGTAGCATCAGTGGCAGTGACGGCAGCAGCAGCAACAGCAGCGCCGATTTTGACGTTTCAATGTGTATATCTGAGCCCGGCAGCCGGGAAAATGCAGCATTCGGCGTGCGCGTCGCGCCTCGCGTACACAGCACGGCGGTCCGCGTCCGTGCGGCGGCTCGAAAAAACGAACGAACGAAGCTATTGTCGGCCGCGGCGGTGGATCCTCCCCCCTTGAACGGTGCAGTCGGAATCGTACTCCTCCTCTGCACCTCCTACTCTCTTTCTCATTCTCTCTCTCTCTCTCTCATCCTTGTGTGTCTCGAAAGAACATCATCATCGTTGTCGCCGCCGTCGTCGTCGTCGCACAGCTGAACCGTCGCGGGGGTTCGTTAAAATTGTCCGTCTTTGAATCTCAATCGCGCAGGGGAGTAGGGGAAGCGCAGCGCAGCGCACGCTGTACAGTGGTGGATAGGTCGATTCGACCGCGATCGGTTGTCGAGCCGCGCGCGGGGAGGGACAAGAGTCTGCTGTTGCCGCTGCTACTGCCGCTGCGAGACCATCCGGTTCCACTATATAAGACAGGCAAGGACAGCAAGGAGTATCTCAGTGTGAGCTTCATCTTCCGGCAGCGAACAACACACGACTCGCTCGCTCGCTCGTTTCGCGCCTGTGTCGACTGCTTCCCTTTTATACGAGCATCGACGACACAAGACACACATCGCGATCGATACGATCATCATCATCGCTTCTATAAATCGAGAAGAGTAAAAGAGAGAGAGAGACGCGGCGCGACAATCATCGACAGTCAGTTTCGCGACGCACATACAGCACACTCGTACTACTTGCCGCTGTGTGCCCCCTACTTGTGTATATACTACCAGTGTGTGTACACACGGCTCGAGTGTGGCACTACTTGTTGATCTTTTCGTGGCTCGCGATACAGTCGCTCGGCGAGCTCCGTAGACAACACACACGTGTGGCGAGCTCGTTGAGTCTCGAGAGTCGCAACGCGCGCACAGTTCGGGAGAATCTTCTTTTTTTTTTTTTAACCAGTGAGCTTGCATTCGTTTCGGTGCAAGCTTGGACTTTGATCGGGAGTTCGTCGCTGTTTCTCGTACCAAAGTAAATAAACAAAGTTTCTCAAAATGATCGTCAAGTACGTGTTCAAGTGGATCCAGGGCTGCTTGTATTGGTTGACCGTGGAGTTCGCGTACAACATGGTCCTGAAACCCTTGGCCTTGTGGACGCTAGAGAATCCAAGAGAAGTCTGCAAGCTGACGGCGATCTTCCTGTCGGCGATGCTGATCGTGCGCATCATTCAGTGGCTGGCCTACCAGAGATCGCTGCCACCGGGCCCCATCGGCATACCGATCTACGGCATCCTCAAGCGCGTGAGGCGCGACCTGCACGTGGAGTTCGGCGAGATGGCCAAGCGTTACGGACCCGTGTTCTCGGCCAAGCTCGGCCAGAGCCTCGTCGTGGTCATCAGCGATCACAAGCTGATCAAGAAGGCCTTCAACCGCGAGGAATTCACCGCCCGGCCCGAGACCGAGTTCAACAACATCCTGGGAGGCTACGGTGAGTACAGCACAGTAAATTATTTCGCTCTCGCTTTCTTCATGCAATAATAAATTCGAATCACGCGCGCGCGCTCGCTCGTTGCACCCGCAAGCTCTCTCTCTCTCTCTCTCTCTCTCTCTCTGTATGCAGTCGGACACGCTCTCTGCCGGTCTTAGCCGCCACCGATCGTCCGATGAGCTCGCGAATCTTTGTCGGCTGCTATCGGTTCTTGGCACTTCCAAAAACAGCCACTCGTCTTGTTTACAAATTCGACGCGTCGTTGAATCGGCATATTTTATTAATAAAGCGAGCCGATGTGTTATCGAAGCTGCCTGCGCTTGCACGTAAGCTCCTAAGATAATGCGCCAAGTGCACGTTCTGCTGCAATGCAGGATCAACGTTCGGACTGTGGCTCTCTGATTTCGACCGTCTCTGTTTTTTTCATGCATGTATTATTTTTTTTAATGATGCACGGTATATTATCGCAGTCTTCTTACTTGCAATTATGAAGCGTAATCTCTTTGTGTGTACAAGTTCGGACGAGTGCATAGCGATTATTTTTATGTTTCTTCATTTTTTTTGTCGACTCGATAACCCGCGCATTTTCGCTTTTCCTTTTTCACTCTCTCTCTCTCTCTCTCTCTCTCTCTCTCTCTCTATCAATTGTCGAATAGAGTCTTGACGTTATTTTTTTCGTTTCTTTGCGTGCAGGTATCGTCAACTCCCAAGGCCAGCTGTGGAAAGACGAGAGAAGGTTCCTTCACGATAAGTTCCGCTTCTTCGGCATGAGAATACACGGCAAGAGCGAAATGGCCGCTTGCATCGACGTGAGTTTGATTTTTCATTAATTAAAACTATATGACTTATGCCCCCATTCGATCGGAACAAAAAAATAATGAAAAATTTCCCTCCCTTTTTCGTTGGGCCGCGCAGACGGAGCTGAGCCTGTTCATGTCCCGCATCGACTCGTTCAACGGCAGAAAGATGAACCTGTCCGCGCCGCTGGGCATGGCCATCACCAACATCATCTGCCAGGTGACCATGGGCGTGCGCTTCAACATCGACGACAGGCGCTTCCTCCGCTTCACGGAGCTGACCGACGAGGGCTTCAAGCTCTTCGGCAGCCTCGCCAGCACCAATTACATACCGCTCATGCGCTACCTGCCCGGCATGAACGACATCTACAAGAAGCTCGACGGCAATCGCAAGGAGATGGCCGCGTTCTTCCAGGAGACGATCGAGGACCATCGCAAGACGTACGAGGAGAACAAGGTCCGCCACCTCGTCGACGCCTACATCGAGAAGATCGACGCAGCCAAAATCAAGGGCGAAGAGGACAAGCTTTTCCAGGGCAAGGATCATGGTTAGTACTCGTGACTCTTTGATTCGATTAAATAATTGACAAAAAAAAAGTAAGAAACGATGGACTAACGCGATCCGAAACGATCGATCGAATTGCAGATCGCCACTTGCAACAGATCCTCGGCGACCTGTTCTCCGCCGGCATGGAGACGGTCAAGACCACCCTCGAGTGGGCGGTGATCCTGATGCTGCACAACCCCGAGCACGCCAAAGCCGTACAGGAGGAGCTCGACCAAGTGGTCGGACGCTCGCGCAATCCGATCCTCGCCGATCTGCCCTTCTTGCCGCGCTGCGAGGCCACTATCATGGAGATCATGCGCATCACCAGCATCGTCCCATTAGGAACGACTCACTCGACATCTCGGTAAGTTCATTTTCCAAATTATACTATACGCTATTATGATAAAAAAGCACACTCGGGTTCTTATTCGAGGTAACCCGTTCGATTGCGCGTTTCGTAGTTTTTTCTCTTCCATTCGAGCTCAAAAAATAAAAGCAAAGGAAAAACACGAGCAAAAAGAAAGATTACATTTCGCCAAAGTCGAATAAAGGAAAGGTTCAGTGGCTCGGGAGAGAAAGTCCCGCGCAGCCCGAACTTGAATTTCAAATAAATGGCCAGTATTTTTATGCCGTATGTATGTATACGAGTGAATAATCGCACTCGCGAGTGAGAGAGAGAGAGAGAGAGAGAGGCCCTGCACCTGCAAGCTTCGGTAATGGCAAAGTATATATAACAATCCTCCGCCGCTGCTGCCTGCGAGTCCGCGAAATTGAAATAAAAATCGGTAATGAGAGAGTACAGTACAGTGGTCGCGCGCGCTCGGTTTATAACACATTCGACTGGTTACGTCCTCTGTGGAGTAGGGCGCGAGCGCGAGAAAATGTACCAGCAGCAGTTCCACAGCTTTGTGTATCGAAATTTTCAATTTTGGCTCCAGAGCTCGCGAGATCGCGGAGGCATAAAAAGATGCAAAGAGAAAGTCGCCGCTGCGGAGTCTCGTGCTGCTGCCGCAAGTTCTCGCTCGATATTTTCGACCATTGCGGCCGTACATTATACAGTTGCGAGGGCCGCGCGAATAAAAAAAAAAAAAAAAGGAAGACAGAGAGAAGGAAAGAAAGAAAGAAAGAAAGAAAAAAGGAGCGCACTCGACGCTCTCTCGACCATTGCGCACATACATACATACGTACGTACGTACATACATTCGTGGGGGGCACTGCTCTCGCGGCTCGACCGTTGTCGTACCGGTACGGTAGGCGCAGCACAGGGCCCGAACCGTACGCAATGGTTTGCGTACTCCTCGGTGCTGTTTGCGGTGCAGCAGCAGCACGAGACACAGATCGCGCGACGACGACGCGAACAAAAGTGAAAGCCGCAACGAGACGAGTCTCTGGCTCTGCGATTGGCACCTTCCTTTTTTTTCGAGGTCGATGACACAAGTTTCGGCTGCATACTCATGCATACTGGTCACGAGACGAGCAAACTGCACTTACGGGTGTACATTATTGCCAAATCGGACGCTCGCGATTGTCACCGAATAAAACATCAAAAAATTCTCAATTGCCACCGATTCGCTTCTAAATCGCAAAAAAATTTTTCTTGCCTCTATAATACGAGTGGCTCGTATCTGGCTCTGTCTTTGACTCTGGCTCTGGCTTTTTTTCGAAATAAAAGCCCGCGCGCTGTCACCGCCACAACCAAGCCTATAACGCGATCTTCGACCTATCGAGGCCGTCTTACTCTTGCCAGGCTTCTCCCACTTCTCGTCTGTCGCTCGTTATTGGTCCGAAAAATTTCCGAAACGAAAAACTCGTCCGCTTCGTCGTTGCCTCGTTCGTTGGTGTGGGTTATGAGCGTCGAGCGGGCGAAGGTGCGCACGGCGCGCACAACTCCACACACCGACGCAGGCGCGTAAACAGACGCAGACGAGCCGAGCTGTGCGCGCGTATATATAAGCGCGCGATCGCGTTACATAAATCTGCGGCAAACGTGTTTGCTGAATTGCATAATTTTTTTTTTTTTTTTTTTTATGTAATGCTATTCACGAGCTCTCCCGCGAGCTGCAAGCGCATTTGGACAATTTATAAAATGTGTGTGTGTGTGTGTGCGCGCAGCTGCATTATTTATAAATAATTTATTGTCATTATTTACGAGAGAGAAAAGAGCGCGTTTGGGAGTTGTGAGAAAAAAAATCGAGATCGGTATTATTTTGCAACTCGTATGATCGACGCGGCAAACTCGTTAATATTTGACTGATAAATACGATTTATTTGAGAAATTAGTAAATATAATAGGCGATTAAAGATTGTCTGTTTCGAGCAAATATTAACCGATCGCTAGCAGTCTGTGGTATTATTAAATTTTTGTTCATAAGGATACGATGATCGTATCGTTTTCTCTCTTGCGGACTTCAGCTCGCTGATAAGCTCTGAACACTCTCACTCTCACTCGACGCGTGCAGTTATCGACTCTTATAATAAACGCTGTGTACGACAGTTCAGCCGAGTTCGAGTTTGTGCAAGCGCGAGTATAATAAACAAATGCGGACGATCGATTATAAGCGATGACAATTCAAAAAAACAGTCCACTTAACCGATCTCGTTGCTCTTCTTTGCTGTTACAGTGACGTCTTGTTGAACGGCCATCTCATTCCCGAGGGCACCCAAGTCATCCCTCTTCTGCACGCCATCCACATGGACGAGGAGCTCTGGGACGAGCCCCAGAAGTTCAACCCCAGCCGCTTCCTCACCACCGACAACAAAGTGCACAAGCCCGAATTCTTCATACCCTTCGGCGCCGGCAGACGCATGTGCCTCGGCGAGGTTCTGGCCCGCATGGAGCTCTTCCTCTTCTTCTCCACCCTGCTGCACACCTACGACCTGACCGTGCCCGAGGGCCACGAGCTGCCCAGCCTTGAGGGCAACACGGGCATCACCGTGACGCCGAACGCCTTCGAGGTCTGTCTGATCAAGAGAACGCCCGCCATACAGTTGCGCAACGTCGGCTCCAATTAAACTACCAACAGAGAAAGAAAGAAGGAAAAAAGCTCGAGGACTCCGAGCAAAAGAAAGAGTTCGTCCCTCCCCCGCCCCCCTGCCCCCCCGCTGGTTTGCGTACGCGTTGATACGCAACGAAGAAAAAGGAAACACATACACACTTACAGAGACATACACATACACACTCACACACGTACAGACAGATACACACTTACAAGATTACACATTTAGCACGGTTACTTGTTCCTATGATCTCGTCTCGTCTCGTGTGGCGCGATTGTAAATCGCGTCGCGTTGTAGCGAGCGGTAAGCATCAATGACTTAAAAAAGTTCCCCACTTGTGTTTGCTTTATAGGCCCCCCCGAGTAAAGGTATTTCGCGATTATTTATAATAAACCTCAGTGTGTCACAACACAATGAATCCCTTCGAGCATTTAGCCACGACATTCGCGCGTCACGATACAAAATAACAAAAAAAAAAAAAAAAAAAAAAGAAGAGGAAAACGAAAAAAAAACGTGCGGCGCAGTATGTGGTTGGCTGAATTGCGCCAAATCGATTAATCTCTATTGTACAAATACTTACTTTTATAATGCTTAGAATGAATAAGTGTTGATGGCGTTTGAATAATAATTAATTGTTTCTCTCCACGTCGAGGAGTTGAGTGTGTCTGTGTGAATGAGTGTGTGCGTGAATGTGCGCGAGTCTGTGTGAGAGCATATCGCGTCGATGCTTCTGTCACGAACGCGTTGTGTGGAAATAAAATTGAAGTGAATATAATTGAAGCTCGAAGTAGTAAGTCGTCGAAAAACATTGAAAAAAAAATTATAATCAGACTCTGCAAGAAGCCACCGCGTAGCAGTTTGTTTTGTAATAATAAAATAAAGGGGGGCTTGTGCGCGCACTCGATCGTCGCAGAGGCAGCAACAACCGCCCCCCCTGCGCTCTCCCCATCTCGAATTTTTTATCTCAATTTTTATACATTATTATATGTGTCTCTTGCACGTATTTTTTTTCTCTCATAATCGCGTACTCTCAACAATTTTATTTTATACATTATTATTATTAATTTTTTTTTTTAATTAATATTCATTATCGTCCATTAATGCCGATTGTATATTTATTTTTTTATACAAACAATGATCGAAAGTTACCGATCTTACTCCGTTTTACATAATAATTATACTTTATTATTATTATTCTTGATGGCAAGCAAATTTTATGAAAATTCTGTCGAATGCCTTCAAACCTCGATTTGCTGTAAGTATCGTTGGAAAACGTTTCTCAAACAGTGACTTCGACGTAGAGTTCCTTTTAAATTTTGTAAATATTACGTATAGCCTGTCAAATTGATACATGTGATTTATTGTATATACATATATACATATACGCTCGATGATGTTATGTATATATCTATTCGATATAAATACATGTGCGTGCATACACATATGCAAAGTACCGATTGTCTCGTGTATATATCAATATATATTTTTGAAACGTTCACGATTATAAAAATGTATTTTAAAAATATAATATATTTTATTATCGTGGATGGTTTTTTTTCTCTCGTGAATGAAAGCTAGTGTGTGTCAAATGTTGTTATTTTAATATTGGATTGTCCATTAAATTTAATGAGCTGAATTGTCTTTTAGTCAAAGCTTGCGAATTCTTTTAAATCGATCAATGGAAATCATCGTCACTTCGTATAAGAATTTTTTAAAAATATATTTTAAATCAATTTTCAAAAAAAAAGTCAAAAGTGTTCAGTCAGTCTTCTTTTATGTAAATGTTGCATTAGAAAAATTTGTCATCTCATTGGAACAGCATTAATTTAATTCATTGTAAACGTAAGTTGTTGATTCGTATTTAAGTGACGAACGACAAAAATCATCGTTAACTTTTGTCTCAAAGCTAAATGCTCGAGTTTAACCATTTTTGGATTTTTCTAGTCCGTGATTTATTCACGTTTTATTAATTGTTTTTTCATTATTTTTCTTATGCAATAAGTTTTGGTGTAAGAGAACTTGTGGACTGTACATATACATGGCGATCGTCAGATCTAATGCCGCCGCATTGTGTTCACCTGCCGACCGCTCTTAGTCTAAGTGTTAAATTGTACTTTTCTATGAAAATTGAAAAAAAAATTTTTTTCTACGAAAATAAAAAATGAGACATAAAATTTTAATTATACACTATTTTTTATTTAAACAATTTTCATTCCTATCCCTTCCTATAAATATAAAATATTGATAAAAGGTTTTAAAATGATGAATTTTATTAAGGCAAATTTTCGGAAGTATAAAGTGGACATAAAATTTGAATTTTCAAAAGTTGGAACTATTTTTTTTTACAATTTAAAAGTGTCAAAAATTTTTTCTCTCGATTATAATAATCTGCACATTATATAAAATATACATCTTGTAAATCAGTTCATTCTTGTTTCAATCAATGTGTGTATATAATTGTGTATCCATTGATTATTGTGTCGTTGTGTAAGAGAAAATTACCTTGCGGTGAATGTCTTACAATCGGATAGTTTAGTGTCCCAACTTAACGTATTATCATGACCGTAGTATAACAGGTTAATGACGTTTAATTTTTTAGTGGTTCCAAATGAGCCGTTCCATTGTGCAAGCCGTAGTGTAAGATTTTGGTTTGTGGTCGCTTTATTTAAACTTTATAACGCACTTAAATCTCGGGTATCAAAAGTACGAAACAGTTTTAATATAATGATAACGCGCCAGCGTGTCTCTTTTATAAAATTTATGTAATCACTTTTGGAAAAAAGGGGGAAAAAATTCACCAACTGAAAATTTGACCCGCGAACAAGTGAAGTTTCAATTTTATTTTATTGCACTTCACTTTTTTTCACCTATCAAGTGCAAAAATTCTTATTTCGTAATTGTAGGAAAAAAAGTGGAAGCACATCGATCCGTAGTGTATCGCGTGACTTTTGCGGATTCAGCGCGATTCAGGGGAAAAAAAGTCGAGTAAGTGAAAAAAGAATTCGAAAAAATCTGTGAATAAGCTCGGCGCGCGACTTATCGTTAAGAGGAATAACTTTTGAATGAAATTTCAATTTTTTTTCATACGTGTCACTACTTACGCAGCAGAAATAATAAGAAAGAAGAAGAAGTAGAAGAAGAGAAAAAAGGCAGTTATCGTAACGAGCTCGAATTTCTCGTGAAAATTTATTATTCACGCTGAAATGAACGTTCTCGTAACTAAATAGACGCTCGATAGTTTTCATCGTTTTCCATGGCGTGTTATAATACACATGTACGAGCATACATATATACTTCATTGATTGGAGAGAAAAAAAAAAGAAAAACAAGAAGAAATAATTATTATCATTCTTTACTTAAGTAGGTGCAGCCATTGAACTCTCTGAAGGATAATCCACGTCTGAATAAACAATGCGTCGCTCTCCGCACGCCGCGCCGCGCGCGCGCGCGAGCGACTCCTCATGTAATCAAGTATAAAACTATGTGCGTATATAAATGAGTATGAGTACGCAAGGCACCTATATATATATATATATATATATAAAACTAATACCGAATGATAGTGCGCTTGTGCGCATAAACATTCGAGATTCAAAGCTGTGGAAAGAGGAAAAAAAACGTAAGTAAATAAAAAAAATGAGCGAGGTACTCTTTTCGATATAGATATAGATATAAGCTGCGCGCGCGCGCGTGATACACATAAAGTGCACAATCGAATTGGTCAAATGTGCTCTCGGACGTGCAGATATTTCCAACATGAGATGATACTGTTACACGTCGAAGTAATTAGAGCGGCGAATAGACCTCGTAAGCGGTCGTTGCTATTTACAGCGGCAGCAGCAGCAACTCTCTTGCATCGCGCGCGCACACGTCCAAAGCATTCTCCGCGGGAGCTGCTGCGGCAACTGCAGTCACATGGCGTTTATATATACGTGTATATATGGTGCCGAGCAGAGCTTCCAGCGGCAGCAGAAGCGGGAGAATAATAAAACCGATTACATACACATATTCCGATTATTACATTATTCAATCAGTTTAATGCTGAATTCATTTGAATGATTTTGCACCGCGCGCGCGCGCCACGACTCGCGCGATCGCAGCACGGTGCAACGTGATCTCTCAATTTCATAATGCGGCAATGTAAGCCTCTTGAGCGCGCGCGCGCGCGAAAAGAAAAAAAAAGGAATCTATTCTTCGCGATGCGCCACGCTTGCCTCGCACCGTGCGGTGCGTTAATTGCAATCGAGCTCGTTAATTTTACTCGAGTAGCAGCGCGACACACACGCACAGGATTTATTTCATTGCGAGTCGTCGCGCTATTTATTCTTATATTTTTAGCCAATTATTTATTTTTTATCGACGCACATTTTTTGCATAGAGCCTATACCCACGTAAGAAGCGCCAATACGATTATCACGGGCCAATACTGGCTCAATTTTGGCTGTCAGTGCTGGTTTTTTTTTCATCTTGGTCCAGTACTGGCTGGATACTGGAATGATAACAGTAAATCAGTACTGGCAGCCGGTATTATGCCAGTACTGACCCAATATCAGGTGCCATTATCGAGCCAGTATCAAAAAAATATTTTTTGGTATCCAGTACTGGCCCAAGATTGTGAAGAGTGTGGTCCAATACTGGCTGCCAGTACTGATTTACTGTTATCATTCCAGTATCCAGCCAGTACTGGTCCAACATTGATTCCAGTATTGACAGCGTTGGTGTCAGTACTGGCCGAGTACTGGCCCAGCACTGGCCCACGATGAGATAGCTACGTGGGTATTTGCGTTACCTGTTTACACAACAAGTCAATGTACTCCGAGCAATGTCAAAGATCAAATCTTAGTACGATTATCGGTATTGGCGAAAGAAAATTATGAACTATTAATAATTAGCAAGGCTTGGAAATCAATTGCGCAGTAATTCGCGTAACTAATTCTCTAAAAATGACGCGCAACGACGACTCTAGCAGTAATGCGCTTCACAATTCCAAACAAGTAGTATTAGCGGTGAATTTTTAGGTTTTTTTCCCCCCTGTCGACGCATTCATCATCTTGAAATAGCGAATCAATAATATTGTCTCGATAAAGAGTGCGTTTGAATTTAAATTTATAATTAGTAATTCTACGCATTAGCCACCGCGCGCGCGCGAGACGTATGCTATATGAGGATAGTCGCGCGCGGAGCGCATTCATCGCGTGTGTGCGCATGTAGGTAAAGTGTCGCATCATTTTTATTTTACATCGTGACCGTCCTCGAACCCGATGATTCTTGCGCAATATCCCCGCGAGAAGACGCGTGACGTCTATGGTTGCAGTGTTGTATGTGTGCGTTGGAACTGCGCATGGAAAAGCTCCGGACACGATCTCAATTTTAATTTAATACCGATACTATAAGTATAAAAATTATACATAGTTTTTATAATTATCGTTGATTCAGAGCCAGTCGGATTGAAATACGCGCTTTTTTCTGTCTGCGTCGATTCAGTTGCAC